TATAAAAGTGAAATACCGTTTTACCGGCGCCACAATACAGCGATAGTATTGCGCCGCCGCCCACCTGGCGCACACCTTCCGTTTTCAACGGTCTTCCTGTGGTTTGTAAACTATGTTGAGATCTATCGGCGACATCGCCGTGGTTTACATCGTACGGATTATTTGCGAAGGGTGATTCTGTATATTCGGCAGATATATAGACGTTCAATTTTAGTATTCGCCCTGGGCCCATACATAAGATGCAGAGATGTTCCCGAGAAAACATCTGTCTGCAAATAGCCCAAAACATGCAGGTATTTACCCGGGTGGCAGAATCAGACGATAGTTCAACAAGAGAGTAAGACCTTGTACGCGCTCGCAATAAGAACAGCAGTTACACAATGTGCCGATGCTGGACCTTGCTGGAAATCTGATAGCGTGCATATGCAAACCATACGAATGAATAGAACGCGTAGATCCATATGACCATGTACATATCATGGGAAACTTTAATCGAACGCATGCGTGCACACCTTATAGACATACCATGCACGCACACATACGCACATAAAGGTCAACAAACATCTGTGAACGTATTGCACGATTCAATGTTTATACCTGGAAATCACGGATATGCATGTACACCCACCAGCACGATCATGAACACGTTTAACGTATATTATATCTACATGTGGGGCATTCATTTGTCTACACGAATATATACTTTGAAACATTCACATATTCACCTGGCTCAGTGCCAGCAAATGCGCGCATACGGCGATAGCACGTGTCCGTAGCATCGATCTGCATGGGGTCTAATTTTCCGACAAAGTCGACGGTTGAGCTCCAGGGATTCCCTTCGCTCAGCTCATGCTCATACGTCTCATACACATCTTGATCGGCCAATAACTCAGGGTCGAAGAAGCGCGGAAGGTACAGGTAATTGCTGGGGAAGAGAAAGTAGAAACCTTTTCAGGGATTGTGCTAATGGTATAGGTAGTATGTGACCAGGTTAGTGAGTGACCAATGTATTGGGACCTACGATACGTAGATCTGCCGACTATCTACTTAACTTTTCTGAATGGACTCGTGCCCACCAAGTGAGACTCGAGCTTAAAACTCAATTGTATATACAGTTCGATCGATTCTATCATATGTGGATGTCAATAGCACTATAGTAAGCACAATGACAATAGAATATAGTAAGCCTAGCAATAAAAGATAACGTCAGTTTTAGAAAGGTCCGTGAAGTGCAAAATAGTTGTCCAAGAAAACGCCGAAGATTCAATAATATGCGATATACACGAATAAAGACAATAAATGATTATTACGGAACACCGAAGACATAGAAAGTAAGCGCCCAATTCTTCAGATATCTATATATATATATATATATATATATATATATATATATA